TTTGCAGCTGTGACGTTTCTCAGTAAACATCATGGGAAAATTTTTTTTCGAAAGCCTTAACATTTCGGAATTATCTTTGCAGAATAAAAAAATACATCAAATACCGTGCCTGTTCTATATACGTATACATTTATATTATTATTATGCCTTCCTTGCATTGAATAACGCGCTAAAATTATCAATACTTCATGCAAAAAAAGTTGTTTTGAGAAACGTTGGAAATTTTGAAGTTTATATATATCAATGAAAAAAATATGTCAGCAGCAGATGACATTCCTCGCGGAAGTATCGCCAATAGCCGACCGTAGAAAATAGTAGAAAATTACCTTATGTGTACTATATCTATAAGAACAAAATATCGATAACTATGTGCGACGTTTCTAAGGGGGGGTGGGGGGTGGGTGTCTCCAGAGAAACGAACATATGACGTTTCTCGTGGACAGAACTGGGACAGAATCGATATGTGACGCTTCCCTTACGACAGTGAGAATGAAACACAATTGTCAAATTAGAAGGATTTAAGTAATTCACTGCTCATTTCTTACTAAAGCATATAGATCTTACCAGATTTTTGCATTATTCTGCAGTGGAACATTTGGACGGTATTTCTTATACGGTTCGTTTGCAATCATCAACTCAAACGATTCGATCAAATCCATCAAATTGTGAAACTAAATATAAGCACAAATAGTTTTTTTGTGTAAATCTACTCTCCTGACAATACACCAGACATTATACTATCTATTCGGTTTATATACTATTCCACACCTGGAAACATATACTAATGAAAATGATTTGTTAATGTGGTAGATGTACTAGATCTGCTTTTATATACTTACTTGGGATCTTGAAAGACTAAGAATCATGTCATATTGAAGAACTTCAACGGTGACCTACAGCAAGAACATTGAAACATTACGTTTCCAGAACACAAGGCGTTCTGTCGTTTACAGTATATATTTATCATACTTGAGCATTTTGCATGGGTTAGCTTATTAACAGTGGGCTACTTTTACTTTTATTAAAAGAAATAAGTTGAATATATGTGAGATTTCATTTTACAGTGTATATGTAGGCTACAATTTCCACTACATGCCGTGTTCTATCGGGATATACAAACTCGAGCTGAAGGCGAATCAAGTTGTTTTACCTTGCACATAAAAATAGAATGTTGCTGCTTTCGTTAGTCAGAGATGGAGTTTTCAGAATTGCAAGGTAATCCCACTATACTTTTTGACACAATGACATAACATACAGGAAATGTTAAGTATCAAAAGGTTTGATGACGCCAGCCATAACAATGGCTCTACTGGATCAATTTTATTTATCTTAGTGTGAAAATTCGTTTCTTACATTGAATTATTGATGCCAGTGCTAATAGTAAGCTGTGTATAAAAAGCTCAAACACAGCTATTTAACTTTTTCGGACACCTGCAGTATCTTTGATTCTAAATGATGAGTGGCAGGGCCGACTCCTGCTAGAGGACCTACTGTAGATGTAGTTGCATTTTTTCCAACTGCTCCTGGTTAGGTCTAGAAATGTACTACATAATTTACACTTGAAATTTCCATCTACTGTACACAAAACCCTTCAAGGCTTAAAACCCTGATGTTTGCCCATAATCTTTAATTCTGCCTACCTTTGGTTTGTTGTTCGTAATTGCAGAACTCTGATCAATCTGAACGTGTGCTTCGAGAGAGAATGGTGCCAGAACTAGAAAATAAAATGGTGATCTTCTATCAAGTTAACTAAGAAAGCATGCACTGCATATACAGTAAGATAAAATAAACCCACGCATGCTGTTTTAAACTTGGCTCCCATTTGGACGTAATTGACGTGACCAAGTGCATGTGTTCGATGGTGTCAAACAGTCTACAATTTTCTTGCTTTTTAGGGGTGTATTTGCGAATCCGACTTACCAATTGCAAAGGAAAAAACTAAATTTCCAATAATGGGTTTCTGAATGTAGAACCATATTTTGCCACATGGAAGATTAGTAAAAACCATGATTTTGTCTGTGTTGGTGTAATGTACCCAGGTGAATATGATGCTTGTGATATTACTCTGAGTGTATATACACACCACACTGGGCTAGTATTCCAAAGGTCGTAGGTTCAATTCCCACCGTGCATGGCCAGGCATATTTTTCAAGCTTTCCCAGTGTGGATATACACTCAGAGTAACATCACAAGTATCAAAAACCATGATGTTTGATATTTACCATTGATGGTATATTTCACTTTTTTTCTCCTGTGCACAGGAAAATACCATTAATGGTATTTATACATATTAAACATCATGGTTTTTACTAATTTACCAAATGGGAAATATTTAACAACCAGTGCCGGAAAGACTTTTTATTGCTTTGTGACCGTTATGGCAAAATGGAAACCAGACTTAAAGTGCCTATATCAGGGTCAGGGAAATGATTTTTCCTGATAGTTTAGATGATTTTAAGAACATTTGCAATATATTTGACAAGACGAAAATTTGATCTTCGTGGACTTTTTGGGCCTCAAATTTGCGGATTTTGGCAAATTTTTGTGTTTGACCGTGAGATACAATTACTGGTAACTAGTTGTGTTGTGAGGCGGAAGTGACGTAGGAATGAGAAGACATGCTTTCAGAACAACAGGACATTTATAGTAAAACAGCAACATTGAACACTTTATCCTTTTTTAAAACACGAGAAAAGAATATTTTATCGTTTTTTTGTTTATTTCGCTGAACGTCCATGGTTCAGAGATGCCACATAGGTGTGTAGCATATGGATGCTCCAACATTGCTAGCCAAAATGAAGGAATATCGCTGCACAATATTCCGTATGGGAAAGACGATCGGCCAGGGGTCCTACTAAAGAATGCCCGGGAACGCCCGGGGAGATTCGTTGAATGCCCGGGAATGCCCGGGAGTTGGGAAAGAATGCCCGGGGAAAATTACATAATTACGTTAGTTTATACTATTAAAATCACTTATTTTATGAAAGATTAAATAATTCTTGTAATATATGGCATTGCAAAGTACTGTTCACGGAATGTCCGGCTGTCACAAAAGAATGCCCGGGAGTCGAAAATGATTGCCCGCGGTAAAATTACGCAAGTAATTACGATAGTTATAAATGAAAACATTAACAAGTCTTTTATTTTAATCAATGAAAGTTTCTTGTAATATATGGCATTGTAAAAACTATTCACAGAAATTATTTATTTGGCTTTGTAATGCTAAATAATAATGAAGAAACATCTTTTTACACTACCGAAAATATATTTCACTGATAGTGATATATTCTGAGTAGATTTGAAAAAGACATTAGCGGTACGTAATTTTCCCCAGGCATTCTGTGAATAGTTTTTGCAATGCCATATATTACAAGAAACTTTCATTAAAAAATAAAAGACTTGTTAATGTTATCATTAACTATCGTAATTACTTGCGTAATTTTACCCCGGGCATACATTTTCGACTCCCGGGCATTCTTTTGTGACAGCCGGACATTCCGTGAACAGTACTTTGCAATGCCATATATTACAAGAATTATTTCATCTTTCATAAAATAAGTGATTTTATTAGTATAAACTAACGTAAGTATGAACTTAATTTTCCCCGGGCATTCTTTCCCAACTCCCGGGCATTCCCGGGCATTCAACGAATCTCCCCGGGCATTCCCGGGCATTCTTTAGTGGTAGCCGCACGCAGAAAAATTTTTTGGGATCACTTTAAGGCTTGGTTACCAAGCACTGAACTATATATGTTGATATGTGCAATGGACCACTGAACATTACCTTTACTTTCTCTAAGTATATAGGTTATAAAGCAATAAAACGCAAACGGTAACACAATCTGATAAGTAACTGAATTTCATGATTGGCACTAAAGTGCCTTATAATGGTTGTCTAATAACATATTGTGACATGAGTAAGGGGGTCTTCTTTATTACAGTTAAAATATTTCACTTTGTTTAGAATATTGCGGTAACTACTGTGAATGTAGCTCTGCCTTCGGCAAAATATACATCATGACATTCAGCATCATGCTATCCTATTGTGCAATTGTTATATACATTCAAAAAATGATGAATCTGGGGCTGAAGCTGGTGCAAATTGCACAATTGTTCCCAAGTTGGATCTTGGTACTGGTAGTACATTGACATTGTATAAAATTACGACAAATCAAAATCTTTTCTAAAACCTAATACAAATACTTGCCAAATGATATTATGAAACCGACTTTCTGTCAAATAGAAAGCAATAAGTAATTATCCCAAATAATTTTTAGGAGTATCGCTGAAATTTCAATCTTTGTTCAAATTTGCTCGAAATTTGTTCGCCAGCGAATGTAGACAAAGCAAGATTCGGAAGAAGAACCACAAGAACGAACTTTAAATATAATTTTCAGGCTTAAAGATGAATAACAATGTTTACAATACATAAATACAATACTTTTATATTACGCGTATGTATTACGTAATGATAACAAATTATCCATTGTATTTATATAGCTCAGTGCTTGGTAACCAAGCCTTAAAGTGATCCCAAAAAATTTTTCTGCTAGCCGCACGGATCCGCCATTTTGGAAGGAAGATTATTAAGATTGTGCTATTGTAATGTTTTTAAGCGAAATATTTCGTAAAGAATGAACGCAATTACCGACTCGTTTGTGGAAAATGCTTCGTTACACAATGTAAAAGATCCCCGTTGGTTGCAAGTTGAAGTTTGTAGGGAATTTCAGCGTGGAAAATGCGCAAGAGCGGAGTCGGAATGTCGATTTGCACATCCAGATGAAAACGTACAAGTTGAAAATGGAGGAAAAGTTACAGCTTGTTTTGATTCAATGAAGGTATATTTTTAAGTTTATTGTTTGTTTTATTTATGTACATCTACTTTAAAATTTAAAACAGAATTTTAGTTCAGATATATCAATATAAACTTTCGTATTATCACTGTTTATATGCCTATATATTTGTAAATCATTTTGTATGGTTACTCGTCTGATCTTAAAAACAAATCATTTCGCCGCTTGGAAACGTTGAAAACTTGAAATGCCTGTTCCGGAATGTCATTATTGTCTTCATTTTTATTTATTCATGTTAATTAATGTTACAATTTGGACAGAATTTGTTTTAAATATGTTACATGCAGCTGTCTCGAGTTCTGGTATAATCTTTGCCCAAGTCTTTGCCGACCTGTTGTCATCATTAGTTTCAAGACACATTGTCTCCAAAATAGACTGCTTATGCACTAGTTCATTCACACTCTTCTCAGAGAAAATATCACATTGACAAACACAAAAAAATTAGTCATTTGATTCATTATGTCATGGACCATGGACATGAAATTAGACAGGACGCGCCCAGAGGTTTTCTCCGCCTTGTCGCATTCACCTTCCATGAGTTAAAAGTTGCCTGACACCAGAAAACATCTGCACCCACCTCTTAAGATATAGCTCATTTTCTCACCATTAGTAGACATTAGTACAAAATGACTGTACATATACAGAGGCAGCGGAATGGGGGGGGGGAGACATTGGGGGTAGGTCCCCCCCCCACTTTTTGTGCAAGGAGAAAATGTGCCCTTTTTGTGGAAAAAAGTGCCCTTTTTTCCAGCAGTTACAGAGGAATTATAAATGCCCCCTTAAGCTAAGAAGTATATGAATGCCCTGTCTTATTGTTAATTGCATGTAATCAAGGACAGAACTGATGAACTGGAGTTTTATTGCTATTAGACTTTGTTAGGCCAAAAAAAATATATGTGGGTTTCCGGTTTCCCGACCCTACCTAGCTTTTGGACGTCGAAATCCCGACCCTAAACTTTTTTATTGGATCATGCTTGTAAGTGTTTCTAGGCCTTTCCCGATTGCGCTGGTAAAATCCTAAAAAAGTGCTGGCAAAAATGGCTAAAAAGTGCTCAAAAGTGCTCAAAATCTCAAAATAGTGCTCAAAAAGTGCTAAAATTGTGAACAGTTACCTCTAAGATTTTCGTAAATTTTTTAAAATCAGCATTTTTTTAAATCTGTTTCCACGTCTTTCTCCATATATGGAACAAACTTCCGTATATGGAGTTGTTTACGACAAAAAAAAGAGAACTCGAAAAAGTCAGCGTTCTAATTTTTTAACTGTAATGTCATATGCAGCTGTACGGCTTTTCTTTTGGAGTTATACCTAAATTATATATAAAACAATAGTATAATACCCGTCAATTTTTAAACCTTACTCCGAACTGTATGTTTAGTTAATCGAGGTAAGAATCGAATTCTATAATCGCTGACTTTTTGTTGCTCAAAATTCGCTCGAAATGTGAAATATTGCTCAAATGTTGCCCAAAGTGCGAAAAAGTGCTCAACGTTGCTCAACATGCAAAATGGTGCTCCAAACAAAAAAAAGTGCTCAAAAAGTGCCCAGCGCAATCGGGAAAGGCCTAAGTGTTTCCGCTTAGAGGAAAAACTTTGTGGAAAATTGAAATTTGAGGCAATATTAGGGAAATTTATCTTTGGATGTGGAAGCACTGACTAAACAAAATGGCGTCCGGTTGTTCGGAAAATTAAAAAAAAAGTTTAAAAAAAAAAGTTAAAACCGACCTACCCTACCTAAGTTTTTATAAGAAGAAACCGGAAACCCACATATTTTTTTTTGGCCTTATCAAAAATGACCGGAGATTTTTTGGCAATTTTTAGTCAAATTGCATTAATTAATTTGAATTTTGAATGGTTAATGTGTTCATGTTCAGTTTATAAAGATGCAGAGGTATTAGAGAATATGTATAACATTCGAGGCTGTATATATTGCATGCGTCCAAACTTCTAGACCTTCTAAGGACACATTTAACATATTTAGAGGTGCTTCCATGGTCTCTGACTGTATACAAAATTTTGAAGTCAATATTTCAAACAGTTTTTTATTTACACCTACTTAAAATTGAAATTAGAGGGTTCGAAATAACGATTCATGAATCATGAATCAATTTTCATTTTTCACGAACACAATTTCATAAAAATTTATCAAAATCACGAATCAAAAGTCTCTCAAATTGATAAAAATATACAATAATAAATTCAGTTCTTTGTAAATGTGATGAAGGATCATATATTGTTGTCAGATTATACTTAAAAACATTATAATTCCACCCAAAATTCTATTTCTTTGCGAGTTTGCGATGTGTATATTTGAAAATTGCAGTGCTTCCACTTTTAACTTCCAATTAGTGAAAATTCCTTGAAAATGACTTAAAATTTCCTTAAAATAAAAAAATTAATTCACGATCCATTTCTACACTGGCCTACAGGCCAAGTGTCTTAAATCCCTCTTTTTCTGTTTTCTGTTTTCGACGAGAAATGGAGTTTGCATTAGGTCATCGCAGGCTGAGGGTGCAATGTGCTCCAGTGACATATTCAGTTCAGTTTCAAAATGGCGGCTTTTCACTGAGCGATCTAATATATATTTAACACAGTTTCGTTGAATTTTCAAAGAATTGTGCCGGTTTCCTATGGATTTTTACGTTGTGTCGCACTCTGGCCTTTCTTGCGTGTTGAATTAGTGTGTTTTTCTTTGTGTAACGACTCGAAAACTCCAAAATTTGGTCCCAGCGAATTTATACAATATAGTGGAATATAAACAAGGACAAGTTAAAGGTTTGACAGTTTGACTTTTTAATTAACAAGTATAAATATACGTTGTACGTAGGCTCATAAACATGCTTTATGCTCTTGTATTTATTTGCATAATTATAAATTTACACCTAATTACATTAATTTGCGCCAAATTACTTTCTAATTCATCATATATTACTATAAAATGTATGTTTTCGATTGTATTCAGCGAGGTGGCGTTGCGTGCGGCGAATTGAAACGTGATACGATTCGATTTGTTTTTGGAACAAGATCCAACTCCCCCCCCCCCTCACTTTTAATTCTCAAATTGTTTATTAGAGGCTTACTGTAGTTTACGAAACGAAACAAAACGAAATCTGCAGTTTGCGAAATCTGCAGTTTGCGAAATCTGTAATTTGCGGCGAAATCTGTAATTTGCAAAATCTGCAGTTTGCGAAATCTGTAATTTGCGAAATATCTATAGTTTAGGGTAAAATAAATAATGTTCACATGTTCCGAGGGCGAGGGTGAGGCGTCAGCAGTACAATTAAATTCTGTGCAAGTTAACCTAGTTAATTAAGAACCTACCTGACTACACAAAGTCATAATTGCGATAAAACGTTATCACAATAAATTGCTTTACTTGTATTAGTTATATTTCAGTGGCAGTGTCAAATAAACTTCTTTATATAATTATATATCTGAGACTGCAAAATGTAAAAGTTTAAGATTGAAAATACACCATTGCCAGCAAATTGATTGGAAATTTTGCCCTGACTATGGGATTTTCCCGGAAATTCTTCAGGTCAAGTGGATCGCAGCCGCGAGGTTTGACATAAAAATGATGGTGATCGCATCGAAAACTTTCTAAAAGGTAAACAGTTTTTTGACTTTCTGCTATATGTTTTCTCAAACTGCAAATTTGAATAGCAAACTATCTAGAGATTTCGCAAACTGCAGATTTCGCAAATTACAGATTTCGCAAATTACAGATTTCGCAAATTACAGTTTCGCAAAGTGCAGATTTCATTTCGTTTCGTAAACTACAGTAAGCCTTTATTAGATGTTTACTGGTTGGGGTTAGAGAAGGGCTTCGGGTTGGGATCAGTTTATCTTATAAATGGAAGCAAATTGCAGTGGCGTAACTACTATGGGTTCGGACCGGGAGAACCCGGGGGCCCCCCACCCCAATGGGCCAAATGGGGGCCCCCAGGCTCAGGCTACAGAGAAAAACCTTATATGTTACAATGTCGTTTTCTGACTGTCAGAATTCTGTAAAATCTCTCCTCAAAGTCCGGGAAATGGTATTTCAGAGACTCTAGATTCAAAAATATTCTGGGTGAGCATGCTCTGGACCCCCTAGAAAACTCGTGCATATATGGCACTCGACTTTTGCCTTTGGCACTTCTACTAGGGGGCCTTCGAAAATTTTGAACTGGGGGCCCCCTGATATAACGTTACGCCACTGGCAAATTGGCGTATTTTTCAGAAGAATCGTCTACATCTATGAACTCTTTAGCACCTGAAACTAGCCATATAACGGCATTAAAAATAAAGGACTATAATTTCTTCGCTATTATTGGCCCGTCATTATTCACGGTTGGTAGTTGATGATCATAGTATTACAGTGGGCCTGGCTTGTCAGGTTGAGTTGCCCGTAGCCGGAGGGTACGTCTGAGCCGGCGTCTTGGTATATTATGGTTGATAGTTGCTGATCATGATTGTATTTATTGGTTGTATTTATACGATCCAGTATCCCTATGATCCTGTATCCCTATCTACCTCTCTACTACACATTACACCCAGTACCACGAAAGTTGCCATTTTCAGGCCAGTGTGAACGCCTGAGCAGGCGTCTTGTTTCAGAATTAATTCGAACCCTGAATTACACCTCAATAAAAATAATAATAATCCTGAATAAATCCTCGGACTTGGAAATCTGTCTGTGTTAAATGTAAAAGGGCTAGATCCCTTGATGGTGTTTTAAACTGTTGTTAGTTGTCAGTTTAGCCATTTTGTAATTGTGTTGTTCTACTTAGAATGTTTCGTTAATCAATTATTTGAACGTTATTTTGTATGTAAATATTAGGGGATCGCCGTAATTGGGGGGAACCTATGGCGAACTAACCTGAGTATCAGGCCCTTATGTTTTCATTCGCCAGGATTAATTGGCGACGGCGAATGTAAAATAGAGCCCGATACTCAGGTTAATGGCGAACTCCCAGGCACTACATTGTTGTATTTTTAGGTAGTTGCCGAATCTTATTAAATCATTATTAAATCACACCTCATTGCCTGATTTTCTCTTTGATCTGAGGTTCTCCAGAGGGACGTTCATTACTACGGGTGTCCGTATGAAATTTGTTTAAGTTAACCATACATAAGCCCACCCGTGTATAAGCCCACCCGTGTATAAGCCCACCCATGTACAGTATACACGCATAAAAAATGTTACGGTATTGATGTTTCTTGTCATTCATTTAGCCCTAAAAATAAAAAAGCTAAAAAGCATATTGATGATTACATTGACTGGGCCGGCCCTTTGCCTAGAGGTTTAGAGCCTTTGTCAGGCTCCACATTTAAACATTGTTCTTGTGATATTTGAAGGATCGTTGTCAAAGAGATTCTTGTAAATACTTTCATCCACCACATCATATCAAACTACAACTTGAGGCAAATGGTCGTCTTTTGAAACAACATAAACAACAACTTCAAGCTATGGCTTCTCAAAATATGATACAAACCCCAGCCACTGTGGTAAGTACTGTTTACAGTAGATCTATTTATTTTTACTTATAAAATGATTAAAGAATAACGCTTGATTAATTTAATTATATATTACTGTACATAAAACTAAAGTATACACCTGTACAATATGTATTCTGAACATTTGTTAAATATCAGCTTAGCGAGACAGCAGATAATTATTATAGAGACTGGAATTTCTCTTCTGTATGTTCTTAAGAAGGATAAGTTGAAAGAGACAACACATAATCTTTTACTAAATGTTCGATCAAGGCCTTTTTTTATGAGAGACTGTTATTATTGCAAGAACATAAGCTGTGACATGAGGTGAATGAATTACTTTATAAAACAGATTTTATGATTTATTTTTAAGATCACTGAGTCAAAACTCTCGTTTACTTGGCCAAGAACACAGAAGATAATTAATATGATTTAAGTAAATGTTTTTATGAAGAAAATTTAAGAACAAAATTTTACAGTTATCTTTTGACTTAATTTTGAGCATTTATGTATGGTTGGAGCAGCCTGGCAGGATACATTGCATTTATCTAAATTTACATGACCACAGTAATTTTGTTACACTGTATTTAGCACTGGCATACATGTATGTACAGCATGAAATTACATTGTTTATTTTATTAATATGGATTATGGACATTGGGTACATTCCTATCTATGATACAAAAACTAAGAAACAAGAGAACTAATAATAATATATACAGTATATGCAGGCCTTAAAATATCGGTCGGTCACGGACATTGTCCGACCCATTCGTGAAATTGTCCGACGTAGAGAGGAAACCACCGGACATTCTGACTGACCTAAGTGAAACTGAGGTTTATTGTTTGTCCGACCTGAGTGTATTGGTGTCCGACCTAACTGTAGCTTTGTCCAACGTAAATCAAAATGTACCTCAGAGTCAGTCCAGGACTAGAGGCTCGTATGTTAAATAGAGAATCAGAGTACTATTGTATAAAAGGTGAACTGGAAATGTTGTTTTAACGTAGTCGAGCGCGGGGTGGCGAGCGAAATGGTGAAGTGGAAACCGGGCTTAAGTTGTCGAAGTCTTTTTTAATACTGCTGTTCTGGAAAGCAAGTTAATTTTGGCTTGGAAATGAGTATGAAAGAAACAAATTATTTAATATTTTGACAACAGTTACCGTTCAGAAGTAATACATTGTGCTGATATTCATTTGTGTCATTCAGACTTATTTCCGAGTCAAAACTGAACTGAAGGTCATCGGACATATGTCCGACCCAAACTCAACGTCATCGGACATTTTGTTAGACGGCCCTGTAAAAGATATTTTAAGGCCTGCAGTATATGTGAAATACTTAGGGTGACTGATTGATAGTATAACCTTATATGGAAATATCATATAAGTCGCATAGCTTGTAAAATAAGCAAGTCAATAGGTATTATTGTTAGATTTTAACAGACAATTTGTTCCCACTAGTACTTTGATAAATATTTAGTCTATAATTTTACTGTGCATTTCGTATATGGTATTGTTTTATGGGCTCAAGCAGTGGAGATACCGTACATATCAATAAAATCTTGAAGTTTCGAAAACGAGCGCATCGACTTATATATTTTGGCGAGTACATATATCTTACGCACTAATTCTTATCTGCTAATATTAACCTTACTTTTTCCAATGCTTTACTTCAAACTATATCTACTTTAATGCATGACATATCTAATAATTTAGTGCCAACAAATATATCTAACTTGTCCGTTTTGTCAAAAGAAATGCACGTAAATATAAATATGTCTGTGTCACTTCATTATTATTACTTGCAATTTTATATTCAACATTTAGCTTCCACTGAACACATTGCAAGGTTCAGCTGGTGTGAGTGCCTTCCCTTTAACGTTTGTCTCAAGTCCTTTGTTGACATCATCTCCTCGGAATGCACCTGCTGTTGCAACTACAAACTCAAACTGGAGAACTGAGAAGGTTCTTCCTTATCTAGAGGTAAGGCAAGGTTTTTCTATGGTGCTATTCAATTATGTCTTGAATATCCAGGCTAAGGAAACATTGCTAACTCCTAACATTGCTTTAATTGAAGAAAAAAATTATGAACTAAGATAAATCTGTTGAAGCGAAACTCAAGGACATGATCTTGTTGTTGCAATGTAGCTTTTCCTGATTGGATAGAAGGTCACCATTGTGATGTTTCAACATAATCAAAGGGAAAAGGAAACATTACATTCACTTTTTCTTAGGGATCAATAACATAATTGAAACTGACCCTGTTACTGTCTTTTATGTTAATGAAATTTTAAGATTTAAAGCAAAATTGTTGTCACTGACGCATATAAAATTACGTAGGAAAAATTTACTTTCTCCTTGAGAAAACCATTTTCTTGTTTTCTCAAAGGTTTGTCATGATTATATAAATGGTGTTTGTTCATCAAGTGAGTCGCAATGCTCGGCAGCACATCCGCCATTGGAGCTTCTTCGCGATCGAAGTCAAAAGAGAATTACTGTTTGTATGGATTTTGTGAAGGGAAGATGTAAGAGAGATTCGTGTCGATATTTTCATCCACCCACACATTTACAGGGAAAATTGAAAACAGTGAAGATAAGTCAGAGTCAACTAAGTGTTGTAAGTATTTTTAGAACCACTGAGTGTTTTAACAAAATACAAAACAAGTGTAACTCCAAAGATTGTTAACATTTTTATATTTATCTACGTTTCGACTATATTTCAGTCATCATCAGGATAAACTAGCTAGGTTATACATCAAAAGCAGCATTTATATGAAGAAATATGATTCATTAGGTTGATTATTAATGAATTAATTAAATATGATTAGTTCTTTAGATGCCTTAATTCCATGATTAAGTCCAGGAATAATAATAATTACATGATTAAGTTTCCCTTTTGCTGTATCAAGAATCTCTCGCTATTCAAAGATATAAACCTGAACTTAATCATGGAATTAAGGCTTCTAATTTAGCATTTAATTTATTTAATCATTTGTCACAACACAATCATTATGCAACATCTACAATAAACAGAGGACACAAGTGTGACTGAGGAAAGGAACAGGACTTGCATCCCAATTGACATCTGACTCCAACAGTGTAACTAGACTTTGCTGCTTGTTGCACACCGAGCACAATGACTTTTTCTAAAGAACAAATCATATTTAATTAATTAATAATCAACCTAATGTATCATACTGTATTTCTTCATATAATTATAAATACTACTTTTGATGTATAACCTAGCTAGTTTATCCTGATGATGACTGAAATATAGTCGAAACGTGTAGATAAATATAAAAATGTTATTGATCTTTGGCGTTACACTTGTTTTGTATGTTTAAGTATATCCATAGTAGTTTTGTTTATATTGATCTTCCCAACGTTGTAATAGATTTATTAAAAGGACCGATTTAGCAGTCAAGGACTGAATTACATCGGTTTACAAGATTAAAAGGATTAAAATACAAAATACAATCAGATTAAGAATTAGTATAGTAATTATTATTAGCATGACAAAATTACTGGATGCTGATTGGTTGAAAGGAGTACAATTATTTCATTAATTATTTATCTTCTGTAATCAGTGGCAAATACTGCAATTTCATTGGTTTACAGGAGTGCGATTTGAGCATTAATCGCACCTTTTCTGAGCTGTAATCGCACTCTTGTCTACAGCCAATGAAAAACAGTCTAGTATTTACAACTAGCCAATCAGCATCCAGGATACAAACTTTGAATTTTATTCTCTTTATTGCTGTAAAAAATTCCAAAATGGAGGAATTCACAAATTTTGACCTTTTAATTTTTAAATCAGCCCTCGAAAACCGTCAAAATTGAGGTCGGAAAAAAAATGCCGACCTAAACCTGACCTAGCTCGGTATATCTCGGCATTTTTAAAAATCTGTTTCCATGTCTTGGAGCACTAGTAGCCTGCACTAGTAATCACGTATTTACGAATCATTGAAAAGTATAAATGTCACGAAGCCTTTTCTTTTAGAGTTTTACCTAAATTATATCATAAATATACACGTTAATTCTTAAACCTTACACCAAAGTGCATCGAATTCTATAATCGCTGACTTTTTAACAGCTATAAGCACCAAAAAAGATTATTAAAGTGAATTAAGGTCGGCAAAACATTGCCGACATGGGAGGTTGATAGGTCGGCATTTTAATACTGCTACTAGTCGGCATTGCCGAATGCAGATCTCGTTTTCGAGGGTTGTTAAATTATATATTTTCTGACGAAAATGACCTACCTGTTCATCCAGCAGAAGACACCGAACTAAACACAACCAGGAGTTATATTTCATGATCAATCCAATTCAGATGATTAATTGGACTAAAGAACTTCACTATTTTGAACACGTTATAAACATACAAACATGGCTTCCCAATTGTGTTTTGAATAATTCAAACAAATGTTGTCATGTGATTATACCGGAAATAATGCCCGGAAGTTAATAATATGTTAATTTGATTATATATGATAAACAATAATTCAAAATTGTACTATTTCACCTCTGCTATTTCACTAAGAATTGTCGTGACAAAAATTTAATAATTATATTGAACTTCAACAAATTGTATTTTTCTGCTTTTCCCCCTTAAACAGTTTGATTACAGAAGATAAATAATTAATAAGTAATAGAACGAATTAAAGTCGTACTATTAATGCCATAATCATACTCGTGATTAACAAATCAACCTCCCGCTACGCGGTCGGTTGATTTTGTAATCACTCGTATGATTATGGCATTAATAGCACTCCTATTCGTTCTATTACCATCATTAATTGTACTGCAGTACAATTAATGATTTTCCCAAAACAAACAAAATGGCGGAAAGGTATTTTGAACACAAATGTGAAATGAAATTGCCCTTGAGGAACTAGATGAAAATACAAACAAAAGCACCAAATTTTTCTTGAACAAAAGAACTAAATGAAAATACGAACAAAAGCACCAAATTTTGGTTGAAAGTCTGGCAGGATTGGACTTTGGCGAGAGAATATGATGTTGACATTGATAAGTATCCAATTTTGTCATGCTAATAATAAACAAGTAATCATGCGATGTTGCTCGTACAATTAGGGATTAATAGTACTCGTGATGTTTGGAAATTTGCCAAATTGGACTCGTCCCGGCGGCTCGTCCAATTTCGGCAAAATTTCCAAACATCACTCGTACTATTAATCCCTAATTGTACTCGCCATCGCATGATTACCTATACTAATTACATGGTTAATTATATTAAGTTTTACTAATGTTAAAAGCTTTACTTCCAGCAATTATGAAACTGTTTGCATATCTATTAGTTCTACACCTACAGGTATTGATAGTTTGTTATTACCACCCCGAAGGGAATATTCTGTATCCCGATTGGAAGGGACAAGGGAATGTAACTTGTGTGCTTCGTCAGTACGCATTCGTTCAAAAAATCTCTTACAGATCGTCTCTCTCCGTATGAATAATGACACCACACCGGCGCGGTCCATTGCAATATCATAACAACAATCTGGGAAGATTATTCGTAGAGCTCTGCGTTGGATCCTTTCGATCTGATCACTTAAATACTGGGGCAAACTGTGATGCCATACTTCGCACGAGTATTCTAAAATTGGACTAATGCATGTATTAAACACTCGCACTAACTTGCTTGATGGAATGGAAGATCTCTTTAATAATCGTAGAGCATGCAGACGCTTCGCAGCTTTCTTACAAATGAAATTAACATGAAGAACCCACTTGAGGTCTTCGGAGATGATTAATCCGAGTATTTTAGCATGTGACACGACAGAAATGTTACAGCCATCAATGGTAAGTGGAGGAAGTGCTTCGGTATCATAAGTCGAAAAACATACTCGAATTTCCTTGGTTTTAGTGGGATTCAATTTCATATTGTTTTTGGCCACCCAACTGGAGCATTCACTAATTTGTGCCGATAAGACTGAAGCAGACGATTGGGCGCTCGTAATTATTTCCCATAAAGTAGTGTCGTCTACGAATTTAACAGAATCGTCAGAGACCTTCAGGTCGTTCACCATAATTAAAAAGAGCAAGGGGCCAAGTTTGGTTCCCTGTGGGACACCACCAATGATTGGCCTCCAACAAGAATAATTCGGGCCGATTCTTGTACGCTGTCTTCTGTCTGTGAGAAAGTTGGCGATCCAATTAATAAGGACAGGATGTATGCCCATATTTATCAATTTTTGAAGTAAGATGTTGAAGTCAATCCGGTCAAATGCTTTTGAGAAGTCCAACGTACAGATTCGAAGACAGGTGCCGGGTGTGTCCATGGCTTCGTACCATTTATGGAACATATATAATAATGCCATTGTGGAACTTGATCTTTTAAGCGCACCAAATTGGAGGTTATCAATTTGACCGCTAACTGACCGTAAAAGCCAGCTATGAGGGAATGACTCTAAGATCTTGCTTACAATTGGCGTAAGAGAGATCGGTCTAAAATCGAAATCAATATCCAGGGCAGGTGACGATTTTGGCACAGGAGACACATTGGCGGATTTCCACAACAACGGGATGTTTCCTTCTTGGATAGAAGCATTGAAAATGGATGCTAATGGGCGGGATAGGGAGGCAGAGTTCTCACGGAGGAGCCAAGGAGAAATCTCATTTGGACCTGCCGCCGAATGAGATTTTACAGATATTAGTGCTTTCTCAACTTCATCAATGGAGATATAGAAATCTAAAGGAACGTCATCAACTGCAATGTGTGTCCATGAGAATGGGAAAGGGTGCTTCCTACAGCAACAAACTTGTCGTTAAACAAGTTAGCTAGGGCGGAGCCTGAGTAGGATTGATCATTGTATAAGATAGTGGAAACGTTTTTCGTTGCACCAAGGCCAGCTATGTTTTTTATGTTGGACCACCACTTATGCGGATTTGATTCAAAAACAGTCGGCGACATTGCTGTCGTAAAATCTTGAACGAGCTCTCTTACAAAGCAAATTTACTTTGTTTCTGTAGAGGTGGAACATGATATTGTTTCCGCTATTCCAAGCTGCTTGACGTTTGGAGATTAATCTTTTGATCTCAGATGTTACCCAGGGCTTATCACTACTATCCAATTTTATACGTTTCATTGGAAGGTACTGGTCGACAATGCCATTAACAATGAATGAAAAGTAATGAAACTTATCGTTGCAAGAGTCCATTCTATACAGGGGAGACCAGGTTATACTTGACAAAGCCTCGAAGACTAACTTCCAATTAGGGGACCGCGTGTCTCTGACCATTCGGGTACTCCGGGAGTTCATACATTGCTTCAGCGGTTTTATCAACACTGAGTTATGGTCAGAGAAACGGACAGGTGTGAGAATCTCTGGAACGTTGCAAAATTTGGACGCATTTGTAAATATTTTGTCTAAGATGTTGGATCCTCTTGTTGCATGCTTAACAACCTGTTTAAGGGAAAACGAGTTACATAGTTGACTGTGCCTAAATTGGTTAAAATCGCCTGCAATGATGATAGCTGACGCAGGATAGGATGTTAATGCACTGTCGAGGGACTCGATAAGGTGTGTTAACAGGGCCCTATCGTCGCTTTTCGGTGGATGGCAAATAGCGACTAAAATTATAGAATTAATTCCACGTGGTAGTCGACTTGGTTTTATTAGGAGCCATAACGATTGAACTTCGGGATGTGAAAGTTCCTTAAGATGAACTACTGGCATACGATCGTTTACATAAACACAAACACCTCCACCTCTTCTACCATCTCGTCGGTCACGCTTGAATATGGAGAAGCCATTTAGATTTATCGCTGAATTGCTGACATTAGGAGAAAGCCAAGTTTCCGTAATGACCACAATATCCAAAGAAAGTGAAGAAACAGTTCCAGACAGCTCATCGATTTTATTGACTAATGACCTCGAGTTGGATAGGAACAAGGAGGGTAAGAAGGTATACGAGGTATTGCTGCTTAATTTAATTTTCCGGAGGTTACGACGATTACTGAGTATACCAGAATTATAATTGCGGATAGATCGGTGATCACGTGCAGTAATCCGAATTACCTATTTCCTAATTCGAATTGCCTATTTCCTATTTCAGTTCCGTGTTACCTATTTCCTATTTCAGTTCATATGATGCTTGCTTCAGTTTTTTTGTGGTTAGCCTGCGCATGAACAGTTAACCACTATGTTACAATACCATAAAAAAGTTTAGTGTGACAGTTTGTAGTCTGCGCATGTGCGAAATATTGTAGTTCATTAAACGCATACGAAAGAGCCGTTGGTTTATGAAATTTTGTAGTTAAAGGCATACGAAAGAGCCGTTGGTTTATGGAATTTTGTAGTTAAAGGCATACGAAAGAGCCGTTGGTTTATGAAATTTTGTAGTTAAACGCATACGAAAGAGCCGTTGGTTTATGGAATTTTGTAGTTAAAGGCATACGAAAGAGTCGTTGGTTTATGGAATTTTGTAGTTAAAGGCATACGAAAGAGCCGTTGGTTTATGGAATTTTGTAGTTAAACGCATACGAAAGAGCCGTTGGTTTATGAAATTTTGTAGTTAAAGGCATACGAAAGAGCCGTTGGTTTATGGAATTTTGTAGTTAATTTAAAGGCATACGAAAGAGCCGTTGGTTTATGAAATTTTGTAGTTATTAAAAGGCTGTCTGGCATACTCTTTCGCTTGCGCATAATTAAAGCAGATCGATATGGACATATCTAATCATATCGTCGGTTTACTTTGGAGGTTCATATATCTTTGGTTCAGTACATGCTATGTTGATGAAAATACCACCGTTCAATTCAGTGAAACAATTCCTATGGATGGTTTTAGTAAAATGTCAACATGAACATTATAGCGATTTACGATCTTTAGAAGTTAAGCGATACCATATTTCACACAATTTTCCCGAACAACGTAAACAATGTCAATGTATTACCAACTGAGGCCTATAAGTGCATAACCTCTCGCCGAACAGAAATTTAGTCCCTTTCAACATATCTTTTTCGTAATAGTCTTGTTCGAATCAGAATCCAAAACACTATTCAGAGTTTATTTTCAAGCTTGTATCTACAGATTTGCATCTTTTATTTCGGTATTTCAGAATATCTAAATTTTTAGTGAGAGCTTCAACCGGAAATACAAACTGATTGTCGAAACAATGCTGTCCTAGCACTCGGGAAACGTCGGAAACCGTTCGTCGGAAACCGATTCGAGTCACATTACCCCTGTAGCGTGGCCGAAGTTATATGTTCAGCGAAAGATACGGCCAGTCTATATTTTTATTGAGTACTTTGATTCGATAATATACAATCTCGCTTGCCTTTCAGAAGCAATAAATCGCTACAACGTTGATAATGACTAAAGCTATTGTAAGGAACTATTTGATTTTTTCACTGAATCAAATGGTGGTATTATTGTGTTCATAGCATGCACTAAACTCAAGATATGAACATCTAAAGGTCCAGACACACCGGATGCGATTTGACAATGCGACGCGATTTTTCGATTTTCACTGACCGATAACTTTAATTCTAGTTTAAATTTTCCAAGTATTTAGAAGCGTTATAACATTTTCGTTATTTGGTCTACATGTCTTTTAAGATTTGCTCTCATTGGCTGTTGTATTAACTTTCAAAAACTATAAAATCGCGTCGCGTTGTGGAATCGCGCCCGGTGTGTCTGGACCTTAAAGGTTGGCAGCTTTTAACGACCTACGATGCTTGGGACTGAGCGAGAAAGAGCTTTAAAATTTTATTTTAGCCGTTTACAACGAAATAGTTGAGTTAATTTAATATTTTCTGGTTTGTTTTTAAAAAGGTTGCTGTATTATGGCTATGTTATACGGTATTTGGCTTCATACGACAAAGAATAAAGAATAAAAATTTTATGGTTAAATGGTTGAAAAAATCAACCAAGATATTTCGTTCATTATATTGAACGAAATCACTGAGCTATATGACGCTATAA